TTTATCCATATGTTTTATTTTTATTTCTTTTTATCTTAAAACTTTAATTGATATAAATGCTTGACTTTGACTATAGCCGGCGGCATTTGAATCAAAGTAAACCATCCATGTATCACAACATACACCTTTTTTTTATAATCAACTAAAATAACTAATTTAAAAGGCCTAGTGTGTTGAAATTTAGGCAAAATAGTTATATGGAGTTCTTTCATTGCTTTAAGGAGCATTGATACTTGTCAAAGTTGCTCATAACCTTCATTTGATATCTTGTTCATAAAACAAGAGTGTATCAGACTCACAAATGAGAATTGATAAACTTTTTATCCAAGGAATCAAAAAACAAATGCATAAAGAGCTTATCATAGAAATCAGACTGTGTCACAAAGAATTGGGAATATAACTGCTACACAGAAAAATATGAGATTGAAAGAATTACCTAGGGCATTAGCCCACACCTAGAGTGCAACAACATTCCTATACTCTTGGAGTTCAGAGACTCAGCCATGGAAGTTTAGTGTTTTGTGAAAAACTTTGTATGTGACAAGATAATCTGCAGGTTGTTTAATACCCTGAGACCAATACACTCGAAAGAGAAGAAAGTTACCTGGAACAGTATAATGCAAATGCGAGACCAGTGATTTGGAAAAACATAACAACCGCTCCAAACTGGCTTACCACTCCTCCTTGAAAGATTAAGTTGAGATTACCGTTAATTAAAATATTCTAGCATAGATATTCTAAGAATGTCATTAAAACCCCAGTTCGTTAAAATCAGAGTTTTCACAATCAAATGTGCGAGGGTTTCTATCCCTTCTATGATTTGCTCATGCGTAGTAGTTCAAGCTGGCCTTCTTCTTGGCTTGCACTTGGATGATGCCATCGTTGAAGTCCTCGTGCGTAACCTGTGAAAGAGCGAGTGAGATCGAAAAAGCTGTGTATTCGATCACGCGTCGTTACCTCCGTGGCATCGCGCCTCAAAGCCAGCATTCCAGCTTCCACGCACACGGCCTTTAGTTGAGCACCATTGAAGTCGTCCGTGGAGCGCGCCAGCTCCTCAAAGTTCACATCGGAGCTCACAGTCATTTTCCTCGAGTGAATCTGCAAGCGAAAAGACTTTCGATCAAAATACAGTCTAGACGAGGAAGAACGAACTTGTAAGATTCTCGCTCGGGCATCCTCGGTGGGATGAGGAAATTCGATCTTCCTGTCCAGACGGCCAGATCGCATCAGAGCCGGGTCTAGAATATCTGCTCTGTTTGTTGCCGCGATCACCTGCGCGTGAAAACGAATAAGAATTCACTAAGGTTGCAGAGATATTCACCTTAATCCGGTCGTCGCTACTGAAACCATCAAGCTGATTTAAAAGCTCAAGCATGGTCCGTTGGACTTCCCGATCACCGCTAACTTCACTGTATGTAAGTCACTGTTAGTAAACCGGCCGGTGTCCGTTTTGAGACCAAACCTATCAAAACGTTTGGTCCCAATAGCGTCGACTTCATCGATGAAAATGATGCAGGGCGCCTTCTCTTTTGCCAGCTGAAAGGCATCTCTTACGAGCTTTGCTCCATCTCCGATGAACATCTGCAACGAACAAGAAGCTTGAGTTTAACAACCCGACAGGTAAAGAGTTCCTACACAGAACCTGCACGAGCTGAGGACCAGCAAGCTTGAGGTACGTTGCATTAGTTTGAGCTGCACACGCCCTGGCCATGAGAGTCTTTCCTGTGCCCGGAGGACCATAGAGCAAAACTCCTTTCGGTGGCTTGATGCCCAGATTTTGAAACCTTTCCTTGTGTGTCATCGGGAGGACAATTGCTTCGACCAGCTCTTGAATCTAACACCAAGCTTTTGATCAGAATAAAGAAAACACAAAGAAATGAAGCAGTTACTTGTTTGTCAAGCCCTCCAATATCACTGTAGTCCTCTGTGGGTTTCTCATCGACTTCCATAGCCTTGACACGAGAATCATACTCGGACGGAAGTGTATCCAAGATTAAGTAGCTGTCCTTGTTCACACCCACAAGGTCACCCGGTTTTAGAGTGGTCGGATCCACCAAACCAACCACCGGGAGAAAAATTGTCTACACGAGAAGAACAGTGGCATCAGGAAAAAAGAAAGCTTCCACTTCACTCCTGAATGAATAAACTTACTTGGCGAGTGGAGGTCTTGAGCACGACGCATTTTCCTTTTCTTTGAGAATCGAGATCGACATTGGCACCGTCTTCCTCAGCTTCATCCTCAGGATTTACATCCAAGATCTAGACACGGAAGATAAGACGAAATCTCTCAAAAATGCAGAGAAAACACTCTTGACATACCTCGACAACATTCCCGACGAGGTAAGGCAGTTGCTTGTTCAGCTTGATCTTCTCTAGGTTCTCCCGGATCTTCTCCTTGGTTGCATCCAGCTCCAGCGTCACGCGCTGGACCTCATCCTTGCCAAGGAAACAAGAGGGCGGAATTTCCTCACCCGAAATATTTTGGAGCTGGAATCTCCCCATACCTTGAGAACGCGCACCTCATTCTCGAGGATCCGCGTGTGCCGGATCATCTCCTCTGTCGACATCCCGGCCTCATCGCCTTCCCCGGCATCGAAGATATCTGCCTCCATCATCGCCATAGCTCTTTCTCCTCTGGAACCCTAATCTCATAAACCCTAAAAAACTTATCCTTCCAAATTCGATGGCATTTGCGTAAAAGCTTACAATCCAGCGCTGCAAATACCACTGGGAAACATTCTCTACTCCAAAATGCCTAACGATGGAAAACGCTCACGCAGTTCTAGGGTTCTGGCACACATGCAAAGAGGCCACGCTTTTTGATACTATGGTTTTCTCATAGCTTGCAAATGCCCAGCCATGGTAAATGTCGGCGTGTTGCCACGTCATGATGCCAGGCAACGTGTCCAGCTTTGATCTAGGTCGTCGATGGGGGCGTGGCATTTATTTCTACATCACCGCCACAGTGTACGGCAGTTACGCCCATGTCAAAAAGCGTTTTCTACCGCGCCTAGATCCATATTTTTACTGCGCTCCGTTGCTCTGACCCTTGCGCTCTCGCTTCTTCCAGGTCTACTTCTTCTCCTCCCATCGCCATCGCCATCGCCATCGCCATCGCCGATCCAAGCAGCGCGCCGGTGATTCTTGGAGGAGCAAGCAAGGCGCTGCCTAGGGCGCCAGAGATCCATCCCTCTTCTTGCTCCCCTCCCTCTTCTTTCCCCCGATCCATCGATCGGCGCGCCAGGTAACCTAGGTTCTTGCCGAAATGCCGGGCCCCGAATCCAAGGAGGAGAATGTCTACATGGCCAAGCTCGCGGAGCAGGCCGAGCGCTACGACGAGATGGTGGAATACATGGAGAAGGTCGCCAAGGCGGTGGAGGCCGAGGAGCTGACAGTAGAGGAGCGTAATCTCCTGTCGGTGGCCTACAAGAATGTGATTGGGGCGCGGCGCGCGTCTTGGCGGATCATCTCCTCGATCGAGCAGAAGGAGGAATCCAAGGGCAACGAGGAGCATGTGAGCATGATCAAGAACTACAGGGGCAAGGTGGAGACGGAGCTGAGCAACATCTGCCATGGGATTTTGGGGCTTCTCGATTCCCACCTCATCACATCCTGCTCGACTGGAGAGTCCAAGGTGTTCTACCTCAAGATGAAGGGCGACTACAATCGCTACCTGGCCGAGTTTAAGACTGGCCAAGAGAGGCAGGAGGCGGCCGAGGCCACTTTGATGGCCTACAAATCAGCCCAGGTACCAAGTTTTGTTCTTTTGCCCCTTTCCATTTCCCCTCTTTCTCTTCTCTTCGGGTTCCATTTGAGTTTTTTCATGGAGGGTTTGATTGATTTCATTGCCTTGACATGGTTGGTTGTTGGTCGACAGGGTTTGATTAATTTCATTGCTCTGATTGAGTTTTCATGGTTGGTCGAGAGGTGGTTCGATTGATTTTTCATGGTTGTTGGTCGATTGATTTCATCGCTTTGATTGAGTTTTTATGGCTGTTGGTTGAGAGGTTTAGGCAGGTACTCCTCTTGTGTGTCGTTCGTTTGCGCTTTGATTTTATGGCTACTGTTTTGGCGTTGTTGGTCGACTGGTTCTTGTTTTTCTGGCGTAGTTCATTCTATGCTTGGTTTTATCTCGTTCAAGAGTTTATTCTTTGTGATTCTTCGCGATTTTTGTTGCGATTGATCTTTGGATACTTTTGTTGCAGGACATTGCTCTCGCGGAGCTTGCTCCAACTCATCCCATCCGGCTGGGACTGGCGCTGAATTTCTCGGTGTTCTACTACGAGATCCTCAACTCCCCCGACCGGGCATGCGCGCTCGCCAAACAGGTGTGATCATCTCTTACAAGTGTTTGATGTTACCATCCAACCTTCCCCGTTTTCTTTTTGTGCAGGCCTTTGACGAGGCAATCGCAGAACTGGACACGCTTGGCGAGGAATCTTACAAGGACAGCACATTGATCATGCAGCTCCTCCGGGACAACCTCACGCTGTGGACATCGGACATGCAGGTATGCTGTGCTCCTTGCATTCTTGTATCTTGTCTTCGATCGCGAAAACTGAGACGTTGTGTGCTTGGATTGATCAAGCAGCAGGATGATGCTGGTGGCGATGCCAAGGAAGAAAAGGCGTGATAGTTTGCAGCGATCAAAGCAGCCGCGGACTCTTGCCAACCGGTGTCACGCTCGCTCGCTTTCGAGACAGAAGAAGAAGAAAAAAGAAGAAGAAGCTCCCCCCTAGCTCATTAGGTGTAGAAGAAGAACACCACTCTCGCTCTCTCTCATTTCTCTCATTCTCTCTCTCTCTCTCTCTCCTGTGTCTTTCATTTTCGCCTTCGTTATCGTCGAAGAAGATAAGAAATGGTATTTCACGAAAAAGAAAGATGACGGCGAGTGTGACGTGCCACGGCTGTTGCGCTTCTATTCGTGCCGCGTAGGAGATGATAGTTTAGGGTTTAGGGTTGATTTAGGGTTTATGGGCATCCCGCCATCGAATTCGAGCACATCCATGGCGTGCATTAGCATTGAGATGCGTCCGAGATCACTGTCATCAAGCCCAAGCTGGAGTACTTGGGCATATCAACCAATGGAAATTCTTTATCAGGGCAAGAAGCGCATCTTCTTGGGGGAGAAACAGGAAACGATCGTGAAAGGGATGCAATGAGCGTGGTGGTGCTGCAGCTTGGGCAGGGTGGAAACCAGTATGGGCTTGCGCTGTTCAATGCATTGGCCTCCTCGCGCGGATCACCCTTGCCCTGCGAGTTTTTCGAAGAGAGCGGGAGCAGAGGCGAGCTCCCTCGAGCAAGAGCGCTTCTCATCGACATGGAGCCCAAGGTGAGCAGCAGCATTGCCATCTTTCCTTTCTCTTGCCGGGTGATCTTGCTGAGCTTGGCGCTCGCAAACAAATCTATACAGGTTGTGGCTGCGGTGACCAGAAAGGCGAATGGAGGTGGTGCTTGGAAGTATGACTCGCGCAGCTGCTTCACTCTCGACAGTGGATCTGGAAATAACTGGGCTGCGGGCTACTGCAGCAACGGAGTTACATGTCGCGAGCCAGTGTTGGAGCAAATTCGCCTCAAGGTGACGAACCAGATCATTCATTCTTCCAAGAACAAAAACAATCTTTTGCTTGTTGCGTGACCTGTAGGTTGAGAAATGCGATTGCTTTGGAGGTTTCCTCGGCATCCAGAGCTTGGCTGGTGGTACTGGAGCTGGTTTCGGTGAGTCTCTTCTTTATCACACAGATTTCCAAGCTTTGTTCCTTCGTTTGTACTTTTTTCCAGGAGCTTACGTTCTGGAAGCTCTCAAGGACGAGTATCCATCCGCTTGCATCTTCAGCCACAGCATCTGGCCCTTCCAGAGCGGCGAGGTCGTCGTCCAAAACTACAACGTCTTGCTCACGCTCGCCAAGCTCCACGAAGTCGTGGACGGCATCATCACGGTGGAGAACGACTCCCTCGTCGCGGCTTGCAAGAAAACTCTCGGAATCCCAAGCCCTTCGTTCGTGGAGATGAACAGCGCCGGAGCTCACGCTCTGGCCTCGCTGCTGCTACCTTCGTTTTGGAGGCCCATCCAAGCCTCGCAAGCTTCAACTTGCAACTCCTCCCAGCTCCGAGTGAGGCTCCTCTCCGACTTGGCCTACGCTCTGTGTGCTCATCCGGCGTACCGAATGCTCACAGTCTACTCCACACCACAGGTTCGTCCCTCAAGAGTTCTCGGAGAATTCTCGCACTCACATTGGTTTCCAATCTTCGCCCGACTTTGACACACAGGTCCGTGTGGAGTCCCTCGACTTTACAACTTTCGCGTGGCCATCGCAGCTCAAACAGCTGAAACGCATCGCGTATCCGGTGGAGCTGGAGCAAGTCCCCGGCGACACGAGGCTGGCCAAGTCGGTGCAAAAATCGGTGGCGAGTTTGCTGGCGCTCCGGGGCCCCGGTGCCGGGACAGCCGACGTGAGCGTGATGAGGGAGCCGAGCTTATACCCGAGCTGGTGCATCGATCCTCTAAACGTCTGTGCCAACGACAAGGAGATGATCAAGGATGGAGGGCTTGCTGCTGGGATGATGAGCAATTGCCAGGGTGCCATTCTTCCGGCGTCCAAGGCCCTCACTCGAGCTTACGCCATGTTTTACTCCAAGGCCTACCTTCATCAGTATTTCAAGCATGGCCTGGACGCTTCCTTCTTTGAGGCTGCGTTTGCCACTGTGGAAGACGTTTGCCATAGCTATAGCATTCTCTAAAGGAAGTATATAATTTTATCCTCGATAGAACTCACCACCTCCCTCTTCTAACATCACAGGATTGATCAGGCCGTGGGATTAAGTCTGGCGGGCAGTAACTCTATCCTTTGGATCCCAAGCTAGCTAGCATCAGGGCTCTTCTCGATCACGATTGAAAAACTTAGTAGAGCCGCCCACTTCAAAAAGAATAAGCTCGGTGTTTGAAAATGGGATATTCCTTACTCGTGATCGGCTCTCTCGGAGCGGGGAGTGGAATGTCATGCTTGCCAAATATGCCCAAAGAGGGTATTTGAAGAAAGAAAGGTTTTGTTTTTGTTTCTTGGAACTCAATCCTCACTCAAGAGTTCTGGACATCTTTTGGATTGGAAGAGCTATAGTTCTGTTTTGAGCGAGGCGCAATCCACAACCACGGAGGGCGCGAGTGCTCATGGGATTCTCTTGACCGAACTTGACAGAAGGATCGAATCCAAAGCCTTGGTGGATCCATTTTGCCGGTCGTGGTGCTGTCCCTCCTAGTCTCGCACATTCTTTCCTCGAGGGGATCGCCTTAATATGGATCTCGGAGCTGGCAATCAAGAGTCTTCTTGCTGGCGATCCTCGCACTGCTCGTGCTGCCTGAAGCATATACAGTCCAGGAGCCCAAGCAAAAAGAGAAGATAGTTCGGGCCTTGGTCGTGGATTCCTGGGAGCTCTGGAGCTCGCAAAGAACGATGCATATGTGCTAGGGATTGATGCCGTGGCCACGGAACGATCGACGATACTGGAGCGAAACGGGGTGAAGATCATCTACGGAGGAGGTAGTGGCAGTCGTCAAGAGTGATCATAAGAAAGAACACCAATGGTGCAAGAGCTTGAACGAGAGGAGTTTTGGATCGATCGTTGCTGCTGCCAAGGAAGAAAGAGCGGTAAAAGCGATCTACTTTGTGAGCCCGAACAGATTCTATTTGCCGTCTCCAACGTCCGGTGAGCCATGGCGCCGCTCCTCAAGTTTCCCATCGTGGAGTAGAGAAGATTTCCCGTACTACAAGTTCGCTCCTCGCCACTATCGCCAAGCTCTCCAGAAAGCAGTTTCGCATCTTCTAGCTTGAGACGAGTAATCCTCCGCCATATGAAGTTGAGTACGGCAGCTGTTCGAGATGGAGACGTATGTACCTTTTGAGACTGGGATGGGGCCGTTTGTTCACTGGTACCTGCGGCGACTGAAGATGGCATAAACAGGTTTGTGAGACCACCTCCATCGCTTCACCACAATCTTCTTTCTTGTGCAGCAGAATTCGGGCGGGATCTAGCTCTCGTTCTCTTCTCCTCCCCTCGATCTTCCATGCCTGCTCAAATGGAGAATGCAACTCACGGGTATCAGATCTCCTGCTCAAAAAAGGTACTGGGGCTTTCAGGGAAGAGAAGCGCTCTTTTTCCTGATCATGTCTTGGAAAGTCTCTACACAAGACTACCTTTAACACGAGAATAAGAATTGAGAATTTCCTCTTTGCATCCTGTTGAGAAGAGGTCCGAGTGCTATGACTTTGTTGCTTGTTCCTGAGAGATTAGCTTCCATGAGTTTAAGAAAGAAACAAGAAAAGCCAAGAAAGGAGAGACTGGTTTACCTCAGCTGGTGAAGATGTGTATGCTTGTCAGGATTTGTCCATTTGCCTCAAGAACTGTGTTTTACACTATCAGCCCCTCTAGTGTCATGATTTTGGTGCTCTAAACTCATTAGCTGGCAGTACTTTGCATTTGGTAAGAAACTTTTGTTCATTTTCTTTAATAATTCATTCATTATGCTTTGTTTGATTTGCAAATGTAATACCCTTAACACCATGGGAATGGTTGTGTAATTTCTTTCAGTTTTTTCACTTTTTTTATTTTATATTGAAAATAAAAATTTCATATGAACTCTATTATAGGACAATTGCATACTATAGTGGTAAAAAAACTGGTATTAAAAGATAAAAAATTTAAATTTTTGTTTATGAAAATTATTTTTTCTAACAAAAAATTAATTTTTTGCAACTAGCTTTATTTTGAAAATAAATGTGAATGTTACAAAACTAGTTTAAAAAATAATTAAATGATTTTATTTGAAAATTATGAGGTATATACCACTTGTGAGTGCATGGAACTTAGCCCTCACACGCTATAAAATACAATTTCATCATAAAAAATTAACATTGTATTGAAACATAAGATTCATAAATAAATATTTACTATTTTACAATAATAAAATCTTTATTTTATTCTAAAGTAAAGAAAAAAAACATTTCCTTTATATTTCAAATACAAGTATTTATTAGCTTTATTTAATGATTGTTATTACTTTATAAATATGACTCTATATAAAGTAAATATATATACTTAGAATTATTAGATAGAGAACTTCTTGAAAATTCTTAAACAAATGAATTGTCTCACAAATTTTCTTGTAAAATAAAAAAACTACATTTTATAAATAATATATTCATAACCCTCATATAAGTCACTTATAGTATATATATATATATATATATTAATATAATTGATATTTTTTATCACTATATGATATCTCATAACATAGCTGTCATATCAAAAAGTTTATCATTATTTGTATACACTAGTCCTAAATAAAAATTTTAACTTACTTTTAAGATTTCATAATTACTATTATACTATTATATATTATTCATTTATATCAATATAATAAAATTACTAAAATTTTATCCCAATTTTTTTTTCATACAAAGCACCTTAATATTTATTAAGTGACATTGATATAATTTTTATTTATTAACAGTAGTTTATAACTACATAGTGATTCAAAACATTGCAATATATTTTAATATTCATACAATATAATCAAATGCATTTATAAATTAATTAAGAATAATTTTTTAAAAAATCATATAATTGAGTAAAGCATTTAGTTGAAAAAATAATAAAAACTTTTAGAGATATTTTATAATTTAATATTGAAACGTTTTTAGGTTAAATGTTATATATGTGAAAATCACTAATAAGTAACTATAAAAATTATTTTTGTACTTTTAAAATTATATATTGTAAGACTTATGAATCACTATATTGATACTGGTAGTTCATACTCAATATTTGGAAATTCAATAGAAGTAAAGATATAAATTTAATTAATATATATTTACAATTAAATAATATTATAATTATATTTACAAAATGTTTTAGATTTTAAATATTTTTATAGCATAAATTGAGACAAAGTAAAAGAACATAAATGACTATATAGTCTTGTAAAATTATTTTTTATATAATTATAAATAATAAATTTTAGAATGACTTCATTGATTATGTACTAAAATTTTAAAGCCTATTTGTCATTTAATTCCTAACTAATATATCTGTATAGAAATAAATTTTATTCTTTAATAGAGTTTAGTTTTTAAAAGAAATACATTAAGTTAATTATTTGTAATTAGCTTTCTTAAATATATAAAAAACTAGAAGAGAAACTTATTGAGAAAATGTAACATTATCCAAGATAAGCCATCTCCACTTAATAATATAATGTTTACAAATTATACTATAAATATAAAATACTCAGAATTAGTACAAATATTTTATTAAATAAAAGTACTTTAAAATATAATGTATTTATTCTTTGGAAGAACAACAGTTTTATAATATGATTAGTATAGAAAATAGTTTTTTTTAACAAAAGGACTTGGTTCATAGAAATATAAAATATCTATAAAAATAGCATTAGAATTAAATTGGGTTGTACTAAATTAATGATTATTAGAAACAAAGAGAATACAAGAATAAAAAAATTTACAATATATATTTATTAAATGGATATTATTTATGTTCAATTCTCCAGAAAAACCAAATATAGTTTTCAGAAAAACAGTAGTTTTAAAGTACATTCAGTTAGATCAAATGTGAGAATTTCACCTAATCAATTTCATCAGATTTTCCCTTACAGTACTATGTACACCAAACTTGAATCGACAATGACTATATCAAGCATTGCACGTACTGGTCGACCTGGACATTTTCATTGTATCCACACTTCCAAAACAGGTCCCTCAGCCTTCGGATGGCAACCACGAGACCAGCCCGCTTGCATTTGTCTATAACCTCCTCCTGAAACTCGGATTCCCGAGAAAAACACCTTGTCTTTCTGTCAGCCGCCTCAGTGGGGCTAACAGCTCGCCCCCAGTAACTCTTGCCTTGTAGCGCGAGAAACACCACCACGTAAAAAAGACACTCCAAGTCACTTGACAAGCAGCACTTCCCATTAAGAAGCGTCTGAACTGCTGTGAAGGCAAGAGTGCCCACTGCTTTACCTGGCAAACCACCCGTGACCGCAGAGCCAAAGTCGACCAAGTAGGGATGAATGCCACCATGTCGATCAGTCCCATACACGATGTTACCGATCGAAACGTCTCTATGAACAACACCCTCGCGGGAGAAACGGCCCAGTGTCATAGCAACCCCTCTAGCCAGGCTCAGGATTGCTTCATCTTGCATGTCCAGCGTTATCTGCTGACAGTATCTCGTTACCAAGTAGCAATCCCCGTTTTGTAGCTTGCCACTGTAAAGAATAGGCAGCACACCGGCAACCTTCTTCTCAGTAAGCATGCCAAGAACGAAAAGCTCATCGTCCATACCCGGGCAGATCTTCACTGCAACGTCTGTCAAGCTCTGTCCCTGTACCAGATTTGCCTTATAAACAAGGCAACCTCGATCTGAAGGAGAGGCCTGCTTGAGAGCAACGGCTTTCATGTCCTGCAGATAACTCCCATCGGCCAAAGTTATGCGGCCGTGCATCTGTGGAGGAGGACTGAATCCATGCACACGCCCGTCGGCCAGCAGGATTCCGACAAGCAGTCTGAGGCCAAATCCCTCCTCGAGACCCCAAGGATATCGTTGTGTAAATGTAAACTGATTCTTCTCGTCGGCCATATCCAGCTTCTGAACCTGGATTTCCCGTCTACAGAGCAACACCGCATACGCAAACTTCCTGCTCGATTGGGCCACCTTTATAGCATTTAGCCTTGCTGTGGTTTCTCCCAAACATTCCG